TTCCCAATAAGTTACCTAATCAGAAGCTTAGGGTTTACATGTAGCTTTTCTGCAGTATACCAGGTGAATGACCTTGCAAATACATAGGAAAAAAAGGAAACAATATTGTATTATTTATCATCAGGCATGCTACTGCTCAATCCTTTATACACATTATCCCATTTAATTTATTCATGAGGTCGATCATATTTTCGAGATGAATAAACCAAGGCTTAGAGAAGTTAGGAAGCTTGCTGCAAATCACACAGATAGCAGGTAGCAGAGGCAGAACAGAGATCCGAACCTATATTCCATTGCAATGTTCAACCACACAACTCAACCAACCATCTGGTCCCAACTTTTTATTTAAACAACTAAGAGTCGCTTTTATTATAGTTATGCATTGTGTGGGAAAGATTCTGTCTACTAAATGTTACATTTTGTTGGTTTGTTTGTTTTTCAGACAGGGTCTTGCTCTGCTGCCCAGGCTGGAGTGCAGTGGTGTAATCATGGCTCACTGCGGCCTCAACCTCCTGGGCTTGAGCAATCTTCCTGCCTCAGCATCCTGAGTAGCTGGGGCCACAGGTGTCTGCCACCATGCCCTGCTAATTTTTTTATATTTTGTAGAGACAAGGTCTCACTATGTTGCTCTCAGGCTCCTGAGCTCAAACAATCCTCCCACCTCAACCTCCCAAAGTGTTGGGATTACAGGCATGAACCACTGTGCCTGGGCAAAAAGTTACACTTTTATCTTTTTATTTATTTTTATTTATTTATTTATTATGAGATGGAGTTTCACTTTTGTTGCCCAGGCTGGAGTGCAATGGTGTGATCTTGTCTCTTCAACCTCCACCTCCCGGGTTCAAGTGATTCTCCTGTCTCAGCCTCCCGGGTAGCTAGGATTACAGGCACATGCCACCACGCCTGGCTAATTTTTGCATTTTTAGTAGAGATGGGGTTTCAACATGTTGGCCAGGCTGTTCTCGAACTCCTGACCTCAGATGATTCACCTGCCTCAGCCTCCCAAAGTGCTGAGATTACAGGCGTGAGCCATTGTGCCCGGCCAAAAGTTACATTTTTAAGTAACAACTTTCCATGGTTATATATCAAAATCCTGTCATCTGGGTTTTAATAGCAAAATTCCTAATCACCAATAAATAGCTGGTATCAGAATAAATTTAAATCTAGCTCAAAGCAAAAAAAAATTATATAATTTATATACATATTTTATATATATAAGTAATATATATAAAATATATGTGTGTATATATACATTTTATTTGGCTTATTCAACCTTGTCATGGTTAAAAAATAATTTTCACTACACTATTATTTTAATAACTAACAGAAATGTAGACATTTCTACCTTCCCAGATAACTAGGGACCTGGGTCTTGGGATGGGACCACAGCACTGCCCTTTTTCAGCTTCACGTGTTCCCACCTTTGGGATGAGAGTATCATCTCTAGTTCTAGCAGCTGTCTGAATGGAAACAACTCTGCCAGCAACACCACCACATTCACATTCTCAGTGTAACTGTCAAAAGGCACAAGTATAAGTCAGCCCTAAATGACTCTAACATGTCCCATTTTAAGTTAAAACATCTTCTACATTTTAGATTTCAGCCCAGGAGGAACATCCCAGGTCACTCTACACACAGGTTGCATCTCTGACTTGACACAACGAACATGGGACTGACCTCATGGTGGGATAATAGCAGCCTGATTTCAAAATACGTGTCCACAATCCTTTCTTTCCGGCCAGTGCTCCAGCACGGAATTTGTTGGTGATACTTACATGTCACTATTTTGCACACAAATGTTCAGGTTTACATTTGGCCTTCAAAAGTTAGATTTCACACTAATCCAAATGGAACAATTTAAGATATCTGGTAGCTCATCACCCCCAAGCTCCCAAGGCCTAGCAAAGCACCTGGAACGTGTGAACAGGCCCCACGCACAGGCTCTTGTGACCTCCAGAGAATCACAAAGAAGCCACCAGGTACCCTGCAAGCAAGGAAAGCCCTGGAGAACCTGCTTCAGGGGAGTGCCATATTAGCAATTGCTAGGGAAGTCCCTTTCGTGCTGAAATACATTTAAGGAACACAGGGAAGCGGACAGTACGTCTTTGACTGCAGGTGTCTCGGTACATTCACCCTGCTCTTGGGTACCCAGGAAGCCTCGGTGGTGGAGGATGTGGGCAGGGTTGTGGCGTCCGTCGTTAGCAAACCCACTGAACCACACAAATCATTTCTGAGTGCATCTCTTGAGATAAATGTTCTTCAGAAGGCATTTAGGGAGAGCTGCCCAAACTCTGTTTTTATTCCTGCAGTTCTAACCCCAAACTTAGAAGCAAAATGAGAAAGAACGAGGGCTGCTGACTGCCTACCACATGACTTCACACGTTCTTCCACTTGAACTTCGAGGTAAACTATTTTTACCTCCATTATACAGATGGGGTAAACGAGGCTTGCTCAGGGCAGAAATAGAGCTGGCATTTCACCTCCAGGACACCTGACTCCAAATGCCATGCTTTTCCCTCCAGCCCCGGACTCCTTGAGATAAAGTTACTTCAGCACTTAACTGTAATTTTGTAGTAACTGTTTTTTATTTTTAAGAGTGCCTCTTTTTAGTCTTAAATTTCTTCCTTCCCATGTCTGCATCTCCTAGAAAAGGACAGTTGCAACTCCTCTGGCCACAGACTCGGGGCTTCTCCCCATGCCCTGCCCCCAGCTTGAGGCGACCTGCAGCCCACACAGAGGCAAAGGAGCCACCGAAAAGATCAGGGCACCCCAACACCTCCTCCCTTCTCAATCTTCAACACACAGGTGCTTCCTTCTCTTCACGCTACAGCGAGCTACGGGCAGAGGTGGAACTATTTTCAACATTTTAAATTTTGGTAAATAGTTGTGAAAAAAAAATCACAGCAGCGTCACTGTGTTTTGGTGTCCCCAGCAGCCTCTTTCGGAGAACACAGTGCCGGCTTCTTCCTTCACATCCACTGACTTCAGTAAGGCTTTTGGTCTCAGTTCGAGTGGCTTATTTGTTTTTACTCCAATTCTCTAGAAATAGAAAACTAAAACAACAATAACAAAAATGAAGGCCTCAGCAAAAAGGCCAGGGAGAAGCAACTATTTCAAGGGTAAGAACACAAGCTGCGGCCTCTGACAGCAGGCAGGCGACTGCAGAGACCGCAAACGCACCCCACCACCCCCACCCAACAGGCAGTTTTGGCAGAGGGGGAGCCATTCGATCAGCTGGGAAGATGTCCTTTCAGGCAAGAGGAGGTGATTTTGTGTAAAGCTGATTATTGAATTCATCTTGATGGGTTCTACCGTACTAACCCATCTAGAAATGACGATAAGCCCCGCTCACGGTGCTAACAGGACAGAGATCAATCTCCCTTCTATCCTTCTCCATCTCAGAAACATGTCAAAAGCAACTTTCTTTCCTCCAGGTGGGAGCTATCTTCCCGGTGCTTTCATGAGGCACATTTCTTGGATGGCAACTACAGTACTGAGATCAATACACTTCATTTCAATCTGTGAGTTTTTACTGATCAGCTCTTCTGGGTCCTGCACTAAACTAGGTGCTAGGTGGATAGACAATGGGCCAGAAATTCTTCTGCCCTTAAGAAAGGCTGAATCTAGCATAAACAAGAAACAGAAGACATAGACATAAATGTCTGTAAAGCTCCCTCTCCTTATCTATAAAACAAAGATAAAAATATTTGCTGTGCCTACATACCAAGGACATCATGAGGCGCAAATGAAATAAAGTCTGAAAGCTATGCAAGAAAGATGAACGCGTCAGTGACTGTTTGACAGATTATAATCCAGGCATTTGAAAAACCCACAGGGAAGCCTTCTACACCATCCACATACAACAGCAGTTAAATTCAGAAGCAACTTCTTTTTTTGAAGACAGTTTTTCATTTTTCTTTTCTGTACTTTTTAAAATGATAAACATTGTGTTTTATTTTTCAGCTTTATTCAGTTATAATTGATAAAGACTGCCATTTTACACTAAAAGTGAACAATGTGAAGTTTTGATATACATTTTTTGTATACTACACTGTAAAACCATCAAGCTAATTAAATATCCACCATCTCACATAGTTACCAATTTGTGTGTGTATAGTGAGAATACTTAAGATCTATCCTCACAGAAGATTTCAAGTATGCAAAACAGCATGATTAACTATAATTATCATGCCGTACATTAGGTCTCTACAACTTATTCAACCCATATAACTGCAACTTCACACCATTTGACCTACGTCTCCCCATTCCCTGCAGACCCCGGGCAACCACCGTCCTACTTCCAGCTCCTATGCCTCATTTTCTTTTCTCATTCCTCAAATGGACAGAAAAAACATGCAAAATTCAATGAGATTAACTATGAGTAAACCTCACACACTCATTTATCTTTTCCAATAGATAAAATCTGGGGTTTGAGTTTGACCCACACCCCAAATTCTTGACTTAGAAGTCCCCACATTCATTAAGCCCCGAAGGATCATCTGGCCCCAAAAGAATGTTGGCTACATCATAATAAATATTAAATGTGATTTTAAAATATCTATATTCTAGTTTAGCACTAAGCCAGGGAAAGATGACACTGAGGACGGAATATTCTAACTACACACAATCACTGGGTTAGCACTGCTGTAATTTCAGACATGTGACTATCAAAATACATTTGATACAAGGTGTGGAAGCTTTTGCTGTGTAGCAAGGAGAATATGCGCGATGATAAGTTTTGTGAATTGTTATCACGAGCTTCCAAAATTCTGTTTAACTGATTGCTTTTGCACCACAAGCAACTGTAATGGAAATCTTCCACTCTGGGAGCCTGCCTGCCTAACAGAATAATTCTTCCAAGAACTGTGTGAAGGCCTCAACAAGAAGACTCCACTGTCAGGCAAAATTTAGTCCAAAGGTTTGCCTAGTGTCTCTGCAAACGAAAGCAAAAAGCTCATCCTAAAATCAATGCAACATATATTTTATCCAAAAAGACCAACCAGAGTACAGAAGATGCATTGGCACTGGGCTATGGTTGTCATCTGCTCCACTGGGTACTCCCCAAGACAGAGCTTGCAAGACACCAGCGGGTCGAGGGCCAGGTCCCAGGTGGGCCGGTACCTTGCTGTGGTCATCGCAGAACAGTCTGAAACGAGAGAAGCATGGAAGGTCAGACCTCCCCACCCCTGGCATCCACCTGCTCCGTGGCAGGGGTCACATCTCCTGGCTGTAGCTGGGACCCAGGGCGGTGGCCAACTGACTGCTGGTGGGGCCTAGAGCATTTGAATGCTCCGAGAATTTTTTTTTTTTTTTTTTTTTGAGATGAAATCTCACTCTGTTGCCCAGGTGGGAGTACAGTGGTGCGATCTCAGCTCACTGCAACCTCTGCCTCCTGGGTTCAAGCGATTCTCTTGCCTCAGCCTCCCAAGTAGCTGGGTGGCAAGTGCCACCATGCCAGGCTAATTTTTTGTTTTTTTAGTAGAGATGGGGTTTCACCATGTTAGCCAGGATGGTCTCAATCTCCTGACCTCCTGATCCGCCCGCGTCGGCCTGCCAAGCTCTGAGAAATTTTAACCAGGGGTGCCTGCCTTGGGTCTGTGAGTGGCTCCCTTACCATTCTGATAGTAACTTTCATGTCTGCCCTCAAAATGGCAAAGAACTCACCCACACACCCATCCTTCTCTCCCTCCCACTGATGTGCATTTTATTAAGACATCTGCCAACCAGGCTGCTAACCCAGGAGGGCAAAACCTCAGCCATCTTGGAAAAGAAGCTTTTGCTAAAATACGTATTGCTTGGATTTAACCGTTCTCCAGTGTTAAAGACGTTGTGAATATCAGGACAAGCCCGGGTGGAAGGGTCAGAGCAGGAGGGCATGGTTGGGGTTGTGAGGTCTGAGTTTTCAGGGCAGCTGGAAAGGAGGTAGACATCCAACAGAAGGAAGAAATGTCGTAGCATCTTTCACCAGAAGACAGGGCACAAGGGCCACCTGGAGGGGCAGAACCAATGCTGTGCTTTGTGATCAGAGAGAACTCCATTTCCAAACTCCCTCTGCCCACAAGCAGCACGGTTCCCTAACCACTCTCAGCCTCGGCTGGCTCATGCACACGATGGGGCTGATAATCCCCTCTCACAGAGGTGTTCTGAGGATGACGCGAGATCATATAAGGGGTCAGCTGCACACAGCAAGTGCTCAGGAAAATCCCTTCCTCCCTGTGATGGTTAATACTGACTGCCAACTTGATTGGACTGAAGGATGCAAAGTCTTGTTCCTGGTGTGTCTGCGAGGGTGTTGCCAGAGGAGATGAACATTTGAGTCAGTGGACTGGGAGAGGCAGACCCACCTCAGCCAGGGAGGGCACCAGCTAACCAGCTGCCAGAGCAGCCAGAATAAAAAGCAGGCAGGAAAACGTGGAAAGACTAGACTGGCTGAATCTTCTGGCCCCTGTCGTTCTCCTGTGCGGGGCTTTCTGCCCTCAAACATTAGACTCCAAGTTCTTCAGCTCTGGGACTCCTGGACCTTCGACCACAGACTGAAGGCTGTACTGTTAGTTCCCTACTTTTGAGGTTTTGGGACTTGGACTGGCTTCCTAGCTCCTCAGCTTGTGGACGGCCTACTGGGGGGCCTTACCCTGTGATCCTGTGAGTCAACACTGCCTAATAAACTCCCCTTTATATAAACATCTATCTTATTAGTTCTGCACCTCTAGAGGACCCCAACAAATCCACTCCCCTCCCCTGTGATGTCTCCTGATTCAGCCACTGCTTAGAAGTCAGAGAATGTGAAGATGCCGCTGCACGCCGCAGGGAGGTGTGGGACTTACTGTCATTTGAGGAGCTTATTCCCAGGGTCAAGGAACTGTCCCAACTTAAAACAAAAAAAAAAATTTAGCATCCCTTTCTCAAGTTTTGTGACTCACACCTCACTGGGTGTCACTGAGTGAATATTTCATTAGGAAAACCCACCTGGTGAATTCTACATGGAAGGAGAAGGGAGAATTCACCCGTCTGCTGAATTCTACACGGAGGGAGAGTTCCACCAGGAGGAGAAGACACGTCTGGCCCAGAAGGAAGCGCCTGCAGGACCCTGAAAGCTCACCCAGCAGATGGGACCCAGTGAGACAGGAGGAAGGACATGAGAGGCGGAAATGAGCCAGATCCGGGGAGGACACCCTGACTGTCAGAGCTCAAGCAACTGAGGGGGTGACTGAAGGCCACCCGGGATCTGCACTGGGAATCTGCGCAGGCCTTCAGCATCTGGGGCAGCAGTGGGCTGCAGTCGGAGGGGCCTCTTCCAAGGGCAGTTGATGCCTGTGAGTCACTCAGTCTGAAACACATGTGTCTCCCTCGTTACAAAACGACTCTTTGGCACAAATTCCTCTGGACTGGCGAGCACTTCCAAGATAGTTTAAACAGGCATCATGATTTGACCTCAAGCTGGTGGGTCCTGAGGAGTGAGATAATTGGAAGCGTCACACAGCTCTCTGCGGCTGCAGGGGGTACAGACATCAAGGCGTCCTCCCCAAGGTCATTTTCATTTGGATCATTTCTCTACACCTTGAATTTTATGACTATGCTTATGCTTATGATTGCCATCATTTTAAAACTCTCATGGGTTTTTCTGGGTCCTAAGCTGACGGGCCATGACATTTTTCTTTTTATTTCTGTGTATCTTTTTTTCTGTTTTAATACTTAATAATTTTTTTAAGTAATATCTCTTAAAGTTCACTGGACAACGTGATAATTATATTTTAAAATGTCAGCTGGCCCTAAATTGGATGACAAACCTTAACCCCAGGCACTGAGGCTTGGGGCAGGTGGCAGAAATCTGTCAGGGCTGGAAAAGTTTCAAGGGGGCAGTGGCTGGCAATTGGCTCCTATGGCCTGGAGATTTAGGGAGAGCTTGTTTTTGACAATGTTGAAAAAGCACAGGGTACGAGTTCTGTCAAGCTGTTGGGGAGGTTGTAGGATACAGGGTTCCTGCTTTTCAATCAAGCAGACCTTGCTTCAAATTCCTTTTTTTTTTTTTTTTGAGATGGAGTCTTGCTCTGTCGCCCAGGCTGGAGTGCAGTGGCCGGATCTCAGCTCACTGCAAGCTTCGCCTCCCGGGTTTACGCCATTCTCTTGCCTCAGCCTCCTGAGTAGCTGGGACTACAGGCGCCCGTCACCTCGCCCGGCTAGTTTTTTGTATTTTTTTTAGTAGAGATGGGGTTTCACCGTGTTAGCCAGGATAGTCTCGATCTCCTGACCTCGTGATCCGCCCGTCTCGGCCTCCCAAAGTGCTGGGATTACAGGCTTGAGCCACTGTGCCCGGCTTTTTTTTTTTTTTAGCCACTTGGTTATATGACGTTGAAGAAATTACATAACTTAAATTTAACTTCTATGAACTTAATTTTTGTTTTTGTTTTGTTTTGTTTTTTCCCTCTGTAAAGCCTATATAACCATCACCACCCAAGTAGACTTTGGAAGAATGAGTGAGAAGTAATATATTTACAAGTTCCTGGGAGATACTAGGAGCTTGGTAAGTGGAAGTCATTACAATAGGTCAGGTTAACAAGCTTAGACTTTAACCTACATAGACGAAATGGATAAAACAAGTTGTTGGGCAAAGATATCATATGGTAAAATTAGTCATTTAGGAAGTTCAATCCAATGGAGAAAATGTTTAGAAGGATCAAACTTCAAAACCTCCTAAAGCCTCCTCCCTTATTGTCAGCCATGCAGTACGCTCCCAGCCTGGACATCACCGAGAACGCATTCCCCAAGGGCAGAGCTTAACCGCTACACAGAGGGCCCTTGAATCCCCGCCTCCACTCTGCGTGAACAGTTCCCTGTCCCACAAGCCAGTCACAGCCTCTGCCCTGGACCTCTGCCCTGCCCCATCATGCTTGGTCCCAAGACAATTCTCTTTCCTTCCAGCTTCAGATCTGGGCTCCTTTTCCTGTTTACAGCCTCTCTGTTGTGACCTCCCCGGCACGGTGTACAGGGCTCCATCTGTCTGATTTCCTTTCTGCCTGGACCATGATTTCTATTTGGCCCCCAGTGGCTTCCCCTGCCCTGGGCACAGGTCAGCCCGTGGCCCTCACCTCCCACTTCCCCCGCCAGCCCCGTGAGCTGGATTTGAAGCAGGTCACATCACCATTTCCAGGAATCACATCACTATTCTTTCCCCAACAGAATACACAGTCTCTCAGTTGTGCTCAAAATCGTGATTCAAATGTTGACAACAAAAGGATATATTTCACAGAAAAAAAAAAAAAGGTCTATATTGTCTAAACCATTGTCTAAACCCATCATGGACCTTCCCTACACACAGGATGGCCTTAATATGATTTTGCAAACAGTGAACAGCTGCGAACTTGCAATTAGATTGTGCTAAGAGAACCACAATGCACAATAAAAGAAAGCAGAGTCTTTGTTTTCCTAATGTGAATGTCAAGTCATATGAAATGGCAAACTGTTTTAGGAACATCTGGTCAATTATAAGTATTATTCAATTTAAGCAATTCAAATCTGTATAAGGCAATTTACTTATTAAGCATGACTGAGGCTGTGCAAAGGATTGTGCCTTGTGATGAAAAAGGTGTAGACAGAAGGATGAGAGAGAGCTAGAAGAGAAAATAGTCCATTGTGGAGAGATTCGGCAGATTCATGTAAGGTCCAAGGTGGTTCTTTGGCCAAAACTATCCCATCTCTGAGCCCCAGGGCTATGGACCTCTGTAGGCCCCTATTCTTCCCACCTTTACTCCTTCAAAGCAAAACTGGGAAAGGTAGGCAGCTGCCAGCCAGATGTCATCCACCTCTTACTTTCACGCCTTCCTCCAGCAAGTTCCTGCTCTCCTCCAGTTGCCTGGGACACTCTCATGTTTCCTCCACAGCCTAACTCCCTTTTCCTTCCTTATCCCTTCTCCACATCCTGCAAACCCTTCACACCCAGCATCAGTCCTGGTGCTGGGTGACATCCCCTCTGATTTCCCACGTCTCTCAGCTGTCTCCCCTTTCTCTGGGTCTCTGCTGTGTGTGGTCCACGAGGCTTCTTGAGCAGTGCTCTCTGAACAGCAGCACTGGCATCACCTGATAACTTGCTGGAATGTAACTGGTTGGGCTCCAACCCAGACTCAAAAACAGAAACTCTGGGGAGGTGGG